CCCCCCCAGTATACACACTATATACACTCCATGTCCCCCCCAGTATACACACTATATACACTCCATGTCCCCCCCAGTATACACACTATATACACTCCATGCCCCCCCAGGCGGGGAGCCGCTCTCTCACCGAACAGGAAGCTCTCTATGGCCGGTCTGGGGATTTCCTCCAGGCTGTGTTCTAGGATGGAGCTCATGCTGGCGGTCTCTGCGCAATGAATGCCGGGAGAGAGAGAGACTGAGACAACACGTGCTGCTCACACACCACGCGCACAACGGCCAAGACAGGAAGGGGCGGGGCCACAGCGACACCTAGCGGCAGCACCCAGAGCGCGCACTACACACAGCACAGCGACACCTAGCGGCAGCACCCAGAGCGCGCACTACACACAGCACAGCGACACCTAGCGGCAACACACAGAGCGCGCACTACACACAGCACAGCGACACCTAGCGACAGCAACCAGAACGCACTACACACAGCACAGCGACACCTAGCGGCAGCACCCAGAGCGCGCACTACACACAGCACAGCGACACCTAGCGGCAGCAACCAGAATCCCTCTTATCTATGTTCGGATAAAATTTCCTGAACATAGACCAGCTCTCTAACGTGGGAAATCCCTTAAATCCCAATGCTAGAGAGCTGGTCGTAAGTGCAAGCCATCGCAAAAAGGTAGGTCGTAAAGTGTGGCCCACCAATATACTTGATGTATATCATTTAAATATATAAAGGGAATCAACACAGTAAAGGAGGAGACTATATTTAAAAGAAGAAAAACTACCACAACAAGAGGACATAGTCTTAAATTAGAGGGACAAAGGTTTAAAAATAATATCAGGAAGTATTACTTTACTGAGAGGGTAGTGGATGCATGGAATAGCCTTCCAGCTGAAGTGGTAGAGGTTAACACAGTAAAGGAGTTTAAGCATGCGTGGGATAGGCATAAGGCTATCCTAACTATAAGATAAGGCCAAGGACTAATGAAAGTATTTAGAAAATTGGGCAGACTAGATGGGCCGAATGGTTCTTATCTGCCGTCACATTCTATGTTTCTATGTAGTTGTTCTGGTGTCTATACTCAGTCCCTGCAGGATTTTTAATGTAAAAACTGCCTTTACAGAGAAATGGCAGTGTTTACAATACTGCCTATTAACAACACTAGTTACAGTCACTCAGACGGCCACTAGAGGTGCTTCCTATCTCAGTACACTGTGCAGCACCTGCATTCAGCGTCTCTCCTTCCTGCATGGAGACACTAAACGAGCATTGATGCATTGATTCTCTATAATTGGCTCACAATAACCTCCCAATGGTTTCCTTTGGGAAAGCATTGGATTGTCAGAGATTGTCATATTTGATGATTTCAGGCAAGGAGGCGGAACCAAACACAACACATCCGCATGGCGCTGGCCATGGGGCTGGAGGGACAGCTATCTCAGGGGTAATTTGACATTCATGAAGTTTTTCCCCATTGTGGTGTCTGTTAAGCTTTGGGGTGAGGAGTTTGCTAATCGGAAGGTGATTGTTCGCACAGACAACTTGAGTGTGGTGCATGTGATCAATCGTTCCACACCTGCGTCGCCCCTAGTATTGGCGCTGCTTAGGCGCCGTTTCTGGCGGTGCGGGTGGTATTGGGGGTTGCCTTCTGATCCACCGGAAGGGGTCTTCATTGAGCCGTTTTCAATTCTCTCGGGTGCTTAGGGCCTGTGTAAGCTGCTTGGGGTTGGATCCCTCCTGTTATACTACTCACTCATTTCGCATAGGGGCAGCGACCCATGACAGCGTGTTGGGTTTCCAGTCGGATGCGCTTAAGCTCTTGGGCAGGTGGCAGTCAGGTTGCTTTCAGCTGTTTGTGCGGCCTCATATGTTGTAAACAACTCCCCCCTCTCTCTTTACGTTATTTTCCTTGTTGTTCTTGTCGTTGTCTGTTCTCACAGGCGTGGCTTCCTGATATGTCTGGATCCTGGGCCATTCGTATGTGTATTGGGCAGCTAGGTGGGCCGAAGCCAGAGCATATGGGTGCAGTCTGGGGTTTTCATGTGAGTTAGTGTGGGTACGTTGAAGGGGTTTGTCTTGGGAACATCTGTATTCAGAGTGGGTTCAGCTTAGTCGCTGCATTTCGAGGCCGGTTACATTAGTGCTCCAGGCGGGTGGGAACAATATTGGCCGACGGCGGTCAATCGACTTAATTCATGAGATGAAGCAGGACTTGGCAAGCTCTTTGATAAGTTGACACTCATATGGTTCAGAAGTAATTCCCCAGCCCGTTTCATGCCGAATGACAAACCCTCGCAGCCGTCGCACAAACCTAGAAATGGACATATTAACTTTGCGATGGCAATGTTCTAAGGGTTAATATGTCCATTTCTAGGTTTGTGTGACGGCTGGGAGGGTTTGTTATTCGGCATGTGGAGCTGGAAGGGGAGAACTCCAATGTCCTGAGGAGGGATGGGGTTCATTTGTCTGGACATATTTCACGAACGGAGTGTCAAACAAGGAACACTTGGCATATGCGTATTGTACATACATTGTCATTTGTAACTCCAGCGTAAAACAGCCTATTTTTTATTTTTTAAACAATACAAGATATGAAAGTTAAACTAGACATTCATGTAACTCTAGGAGTATAGGGAACAGGGAACACGTCCAGATCATAAGCAAGAGTCATGTAAATTAAGCAGTGACACGGGATTGGCAGGCGTTAATATATATGTACCACTGGGCAACACAAAATATAGACCATACTGCTTCATACTATAGTGAGCTTAAACCAAAATTAAACCAAGTTACACCTTGCAATCAGGTGTTGAGGCTGCGCTGTCGGCTGTGGCAGGGCCGGATTAAGAGCCCATTTGGCCTGGTGCTGACAAATATGATGGGCCTAATTACAGAATCTTATCGACAGAAAATACCAACAGTTCTACCTCCCAAGCATCCTGTATCTGGTGGAGGTGGTGCTGGAGGTAAACTCACAAGATACAGCTATCAGAAAACACATACCCTGTGCTAATCTCTCGCTTTCATCTTTTGAGTAAATCCATACCCTCTAACAGCAGTGTTCGGTGAAGCAGGATTTCGGTGGCGGGATTAGAGTGTGACCACTGATGTTAATCACGTTACCAAAACTGGCCAAAGGGACAAACCTGTCCAAAAAGGGTGTGTGCCTGCATGAAGAATTAGATGGTCAGTCTGGCATGAATGCACGTCAGGCTGCCTGCCAATCATGCAGGATGACCAACCAAGGGCATACTGTGCAGACAGCACCCTGAGCTTGACATAAATGCATCTAGTGATGCGCTAGCTCTATGCTTTCTAAGGACTATCCGTAGCGCTCGCTGGTCCACTCCTCTCCTAGCCTTCTTACTAGCAGGCAGAAGCTCCTCTGTCTGGGACAGAGAAAAAGTGTATGTAGTGATGCAGACTGTGGCAAACCTAGCCACTTTAGACTATTTTGTTTCACTTTAAGGGTTGCCCTAGAAAGACTGGCCATGGTGTGGGCCTTCAATAAGTTGCAACCTTATTTGTACGGGCAACCCTTTTCCTTACTCAGAGATCACAACCCGTTGGTGTGGCTGAACCGTGTGGCTGGGGACAATGCCAGGCTGCTGCACTGGAGCTTGGCGCTACAGCCATTTGATTTTACCATTCATTATCGCCCCGGAAAGCAAAACGGTAACGCTGATGGGTTATCCAGACAAACTGAACTTGAAAAATGATCTGTGAGTACTCCTCCGGACATCCCCATGCCGATCCGTTGGGATCAGGCTGTGTATGCCGGCTTGGTTCTGGGGGAGCATTGTGGCAAACCTAGCCACTTCAGACTATTTTGTTTCACTTTAAGGGTTGCTTTAGAAAGACTGGTTTATATATGGTTTGATGTGTTGGTTTAAAATGTGAAAGAGGGAATTCGTATGCTAGTGGCCCGAAAGCCGCTAGCATTCATATGGTAGTTTCACCATTAACCGATCGCAACAATGTGGCGGCGGCCATCTTGGATTCCCTTTTTGCCCAGCGGTGTTTGGTCGTCGAGTGCCTGGAACTAAAATCGGCTACTCGACGGCACGAACACCGCTGGACTTCCAGGCCGTTCGGGAGCGCCGGTCTTTCGGTACTTTTCCCCCACTTATGTATTCGTGACTTTTATGAGAAATGTAGGTTAAAGTATATTTCGTGCGGAGTTCGGCTGATAGTGCTGGGATCTGAGCGGTACTTTCACGAAGTATGCGCTCAGACCCCAGCTATCTGCCGAACGGTCATTCGGTACAGTGGCATGAATAAAATAGAAGTTATGTATTTTTATGTAAAAAGCCAGTTCTGCTGTATGGAGGGATAATCCACTTAACAGGATATTCTAGTGGGAGTAACCCTCTCATACAGCAGTGCATGTTAGGAGAAATGTTCTGTATGTTAAGTCCCCCATGTAGTCCCCTACTGTACAACCCCTGTAAAGTGAGTAAGGAAACCCCTTGCATGGGGAACCGCATAAATACTGAAGCTTGTGAATAAAAGCGTCAGTTGACTCCCAGCACTGTGTTTCGTCCGGTTACTGGGGGATTTGAGATATTACCTTCATTTTCAGCGCTTTCCTTGGATTACCTTCTGTACCAGCGGATATACTGGGATTTAATATTGCAGCTCCGCTACAATTGGTGGCAGCGGTGGGATCCAACCTTACAGCCGAAAAGCGGTGTTCGGATAATTGAAACTGCCGAACGGGAAAGTGAATGGCAATTCGTATGCAACAAATAACCGAACACAGAGGTGAATGGAGACAGATTATACTGCATTGAAACGGCAGACGTTGAAGGAACTATTGGAAGCCAGGGGTAAGATAGCCAGTAATAAGTCAAAAGCTGTGCTTATTGCCGAACTGATGGAGGGAGACAGAGTTCGCAGCACTACACCTCCACCAGACATGGAAGAGACCCCATTCCAGAAAGAGATGAGGACCAGGCTGGAATTCCTACTCCAGTCAGTACCTCTGGAAATGCTGATGGTACTGATGGCGGATGTGCAGGAGTATGTGATGGCACACAGACCGCAGGATTCACCCTCCAGAGCAGAATCTACTGCTGCTTCAATCATCAGCCAGGTAAAGCCCAAGATACCACATCATGCTTTTAAAATGTTTTGTGAAGACAAAGATGAGATTGATGGGTACCTATAGGATTTTGAAAGACTGTGTGACCTGCATGATCTGGAGCAGGCAGTGTGGGTACCCTTACAGGCAGGCTAATTATCCGGTCGAGCAGCAGAAGCATACTGTGCCGTGCCCAGAGAGGACAGCAAAAATTACACCAGGGTAAAACAAGCCATATTGGAGAGATATGCCATTACCCTGGAGGCATACCGGCGCAAGTTTAGGGGACTGCGCAAACCAAATAAAGACTCCCACGCAGAGTGGGCACACAAGCTTGATCAAGCCTTTCCGGGGGTGGATACAAGCTAGCCAAGCTACCACCATGGAGGAGTTACGCCAGCTGCTATTGTTGGAGCAGTTTTTCAATGGTCTGACACCAGAGGCACAAGAATGGGTGAGAGATAGAAAACCCCTCACCCTAACAGAAGCTGCACGACTGGCGGACCAGCACTATGATGCCAGGAGGCATTATGGTACCCTCAATCGAGGGTATCCTCAACCCACCACCCAGCCACCTACAACTACTACTACTGCACCAACAACAGCCCCTTTCCGGCCAGCAACTAGGGGGCAAACCCCACCGTCCCAATACAATGGCCGGTCTAACATTCAGTGCCATACCTGCAAGCAATGGGGCCACATGGCGAGAGAGTGTACACAGAACTGGAGCCGTCAAGCATGGAGCCAAGTACGACCGAACCCAGCACCACTACCAGGCAGAGCCAGCACCCCAGGAGCTAATGTTTAATCACATCGAAGAGCCCCTGGTAATACTGCATGATGCGATGTCTGTACAAGCCACAGACAATAGGCACCCTCATCACCAGATAGTAACCTTGAAGGGGAAAGAAGTACAAGGGCTCCGAGATTCGGGGGCCACTGTGACTCTAGTAGCACCTCATCTAGTTCCAGGCTCGGTGCACGCAGGCGGATCCGTGGCAGTTCGAGTAGCAGGGGGAGCGATGTACAGATTGCCAACAGCCAAAGTACACTTGAATTGGGGTGTGGGGGAAGGGATGGTGGAGGTGAGCCTGATGCAAAAACTGCCAGCAAGATGTATTGGGAAACGACCTGGGCAGAATGACTTCGGCGTTTGTACCTCAAGCCCCGCTCCAAGAAGCTCACCTGGTAACCACAAGGCAACAGGCTCGCACCATGGCTTCATCCACACACTCTGAGGCTCAGGTAAGAGATAATGTACCCCCCATGACTCGTGTTCCCTGGGATACCCCGACTGAATTTGGAGCAGAGGTTAAGGTAGACCCTATGTTGAAAGTGTATAGAAATAGGGTGACCTCTGATCAGGCAGGGTTAGAGGGGGGGAAGAGTTATTGTATCGTATTGCTGAAAGGCTGGTGGGGGGATCTGTAAATATTACTACTAGACAGCTAGTAGTCCCCCAGAAATATCGACAGGAACTCCTTAGGATTGCTCATGACATTCCGTTGTCTGGGCATCTGCGTATGACCCGAACTAGATACCGACTGACCCATGCATTCTTCTGGCCAGGCATATCTAAAGATATGAGGCAATACTGCCAGACGTGTGACATCTGCCAGAGAGTAGGCAAAAGGGGTGACCGACACAAGGCTAAATTATGCCCACTACCCATCATAGAAGAGCCATTTAGTAGTGTGGCCGTAGATATAGTAGGACCCTTACCCAAACCCAGTCCCTCCGGCAAGAAGTACATTTTGACCGTGGTTGATTACGCCACCAGGTACCCCGAGGCAGTAGCCCTTTCTAATATTCACGCAGAGACGGTGGCAGAAGCCTTAATGAAAGTCTTTTCCCAGGAGATAATCTCAGATAGGGTTATGCAATTCACAGCCGAAGTAACCCACCCACTCTGGAAAATATGTGGCATTAAGCCTATTGTGAATTCTGCTTACCATCCTCAGTCTAATGGGTTATGTGAAAGGTTCAATGGAACTTTAAAGCAGATGCTCTGTACATTTGGAGAGGCCCATAAAGACTGGGAGCGATTCTTGCCCCACCTGCTGTTCGCCTACAGAGAGGTGCCTCGAGAGTCCACCGGGTTTTCCCCCTTTGAATTATTGTTTGGGAGAAGTGTGAGAGGACCGCTAGATTTAATTAGAGAGCATTGGGAAGGGGAAAGCAGTGCAGATGGGATACCCATTGTACCATATGTGCTGGAGTTCAGGCACCGCTTGGAGGCACTAACCCAGACCGTACGGGTAAACCTCCAGGTGGCTCAACAACGGCAGCGCCGATGGTATGATAGGGGAGCAAGGGACCGCAGCTTTCAAGTGGGACAGAAAGTTTTGATTTTAAAACCTGTCCGCAATGACAAGCTGCAGGCCATCTGGCAAGGCCGATACCAGGTGGTGGAACAGAGATGTGACACCACCTATGTGATTGGCCCATGCTCAGGGGTAGGGAAGAGACGCATGCTCCACATGAATATGCTCAAACCCTACCATGAGAGGATAGAGGACGTGGCAGCTATATGCGCATCAGCCTCTGAGGATCAGGAGA